GTATAGCTGTTTACTTTTTCAGGTAATTACAGTATGCACCACTCTCTTCAAATAAGTAATCTTCATACTGGTGGATTTACGGGGTTGGCTTGCGCTGGTTGCGCGCTAGATAAAGATGAGACCACGTGACAGTTATTGAACACGAGTGCGTGGAAAGACTCAGCATGTGAGGGCAATCATCAGTGTGCGGGGACTCCTGTCTTGAATGGCCTGAGATGGAGATCGACTAGTAGACTAGCTGTAGTTGGCAGAGATGATGAATCCGGTCTGGGTAGGTGTTGATGGCTAGTTTGGGCTAGGGGCCATGGAACAGTTTGCAGGTGGTGGAGACTGTAGTTGCGGCTTGTTTTTTGGTTGTCGGGTGGCCTTGTAAGGTCACAATCTTTACTGGTTGGCACAGACGGCTGGCGACCAGCACGGGGTGTTTTGCTAACAGCAGATACTGACTGAGTGGAAGGATATAGACGATCCGGTTTTAGTAGGGTGTGGTGTTGATCGATGCAGTGCGAAAAAAATCTTTGCTTTGTTTGTTTTGCTGTGTATTGAGTCCGGCACAGCGTGGCGTTGCCTGGTGGAACGGTGGCTGCAAGTAGCGGTATGAAAAAACAGGGGTGGATTGGTTTGTGATTGGGGGTGGCCCTGGAAATTTTCCCGATCTCTCTGCTGTTGAGGTTTGTGGGCAAGTGATGACGTTTTGTGGCACGACTTCCAGCGGATTGACAGCTTGTGTTGTGCAGTTGTGCGCTGTGTTGCTGAGATATGACAGGTTGCGATGGTTGTCGCCACCTTCCTAGGAGCAGGCTGGGGACAGGTTGGGGTTTCTGAGCGTTGCGACCCACGTTAGACCTGGTGGAGCAACTGAAACTGGGGGAGACCCCTGATGTGATTGATTGTGGTTGTTTTTGCACATTTTTTTTGCATTTGGTTTGGGTGTCGCACACTCTGGACCATTGTGTTCAACTGGAGTTAATCCAGCACCAGTGGAGTGTCCCACATTTCAGAGGAAGAACTTAGCCAGGGTTAGGTGTTTAGCTCGGATTCTTCCCACCAGTTTGGCGGATGGCTGATCTTTACCATTGGTTTGAGTGAACCATGTGCTCTGAGGAAGTCCATTCTTTCACTGGATTGCCAGGTGACGATTAGAACACGTTCCTTCTCAAACGCTCGCGGAATTCTTTTGAATAGGTAGAATCGAGGACGTTGGAGGGGCACAGTTGCTGCATCTTGAGCTCCATGCGAGGGAATGGATGCGGTTTTGTCTGCCTTTGCCCTCGGTGCACCATAGATGGTACACTGAAACGGCTTCTTCGGACGGCGCTCCCGGGTATATATCTATGTAAACGTAAATGAGACAGGGTCTCCGTCATACGCTTCAAGTTTAGAACTCAGTTGAGTCTGCCATGATTGCTCAGCCTGCCCGACCGTGCAGACCACAAACTCTTGCATTGAGAACGAACAACGCATTCCGACAGGTGTGCGTCAGGTTTTGATGTGCTTGTCGTATGTGGACAGTGTGTCAGAAGCTAAGAGTTTGTCTCGCCTGCTCCTCCTTGCTCAGTGATCGGTGGATTCTTATGACTCGGCGCATGCCACGCTCTGTTACGAAAGCATCGTGGAGTAGACCTAAAGTGGGGACCTGTCACTTAGAAAGTTGGGGCAGGAGGAGGGATTGAGGCTCTACATGTACCGATTGCAAACCAGCCAGTATATGGTACACTGTCTTGCTGCACCGGGTAGTATGCTCCCACTCACGTTTACGAGCTTCGTCTCGCGTAATGAGACCGAGCCATTTGCCTAGAAGTCTGCGGGATACGAGCTCGTTTTAGACAGCCCGACGGCACCCTCTAGCTCTCTTCGCTGTTACGGGGAATCTAGCGGCGCGACTCTTCTGCCACATACAAGGGTGTCGATGGCTGCCACTGGTAGCGACACGCGTGGTCTTTGTCCAGTGTAGGTACCGCGGAGAGTCTATCTCAGAGTCGCGGCGACGACCCTCGTCAGCCATCATTGATCGCAACGCTCCGCCAGCGGCTCTTCTGGCCGGAGAGGACTGCGCTACTCGCTCTCCACCTCAGCATGCGGACCGGAGTTGTCCCCAGACGACAGGTCTATGCAGAGGACAAGCGGAGACGAGGGCCGGGATGTAGGACCGCAGTGTCTGCGAATCCATCTGCCGACTCATCCTGTAGCTGCAGTCACAAGAGTAGTCGCTCTGAGAGCTGGATGTGCAGCATGTGCCTTATGTCGAGTTACAAACGTTCCGTTGCAGTTGCTACACAGGATGATTATACTCCGAGGCCGGTAGTAGTTTAGTTACAGGCGAGGATATCCTAACTGATTTGTAGTCATGACAATGCTCGAATTTCTGCTGTGTCATCCTGTATAATGAATGTACCACTGATGGTTGTGTTAACTTTGGATGAGCCAGACACATGCTACGCCTATTATATAGAGCTAGATGTTGTGTACTAGGATTCCGCTCCAATACTGATACACATTGGTCAGCGCGTCAGCTCCCAGCTTGTCGAGAAGTCAGTACATCTCACATTCCTCAGCACCGCAGTGGTGTGACGCAAGTATATACGCTTGGGCCGCGTTTGCGTCCAGGGGCTGTGGATATCACTGGGTCGGTGGTATAATACAGCTGGCTGATAAACTGCGGAAACACAAGCTCAGGGATAAGTAATGGTGAACTAGTGGGTTTGGAGTGGGTGGCGTCAAAATTGCGAGCGTGATCTGGCCGTTATGGGACACAGTTAGTTATTGAAGTCAGTTGTGTTTGTGAGCCCCATGCGCGCTGTACGCAGGAGCACACTGGTGGTGGAAGTGATGAATTGACATTCCGCGTTGCTGCGCTTGCTCAGTCGCGAACCAGGTGAGCCAGAGTCCTGTCGGTCGGATGCTGTGTGGCGTAGATTGGTGGGTTTGGCGTCTCCTCGTGACTGGGCTACGCTCAGACTGTCGACTTCCTGGTGTACATGGATACCTGGTGTGTGCTTGTGGGACACGTTGCGTGAACCATGCATTGAAGTGACTGCGCAGCTGTCTATGGCCCATTGAGGGGCAGTGCAGATTGGTAAGGGGCTGGCGCGGCTGTGTGGTGTGTGTGTTGCGAGGAGTAGAGTGGAGTGGGTTGGCATAATAGTGGACGTGGGGTGCGCTTCTTTGCGGTAGACGGTAGCGCTGTTGGGCGCTGTAGATTTAGGTGGCAGGTTTGGGCGCAGCGTTTGGGTGGTGGGTAACTTGATACTAGGTGTGGTGCTGCCCAGTGGTTGACCGGTTGGGACCGTGTCGTCTAGTGTGACTGCTGTCCTACTGAATGTTTGGGCGGCTAGTTTAGGTGCAGCGTATGGGCTGCAAATGTGGATTCATTTTCGGTGTGAGTGAGCTGGTTTTCTTTGAGAGTAGAGAGGCGCTCAGACTTACCCTCCCGGCCCAGTTGACTGGGGTTGCGGATGGGAGCATGGAGGAGGGGAGGGAGGGAGGGATGGGCAGGACTTTTGCCTTGTGCCAGGCCGTGGTTACTGACATTTTCGGGCCGTACTCTGTGGTTTTTTGTTGTTGGGTTGGGTACCTTGCATTGCCACCTGCCATCAGAAACGACAGCGAGCGCACTATGACAATCTGCGAGGGGACAGCCACCATGACCCCTGCTGGCGACACCCCGTGCGTTGCTTCACGCTGGCGACGGCTCGATATTCTCGGGGCCTCTGGCGCCTGCCGAGAATTCTTATTACTTCAAAGTCCGCGCCAGTGATGCTGCATCGCTACACATTCTCTTCACTAATCTACCTCAGCTTGCGTTCTGCCATGGAGTCAGGCTGTCTGTACCACAGTGCGGAACATTGTGCCAAAGGGTGTCGAGCGGTGGATGATTACAACGTGTCTTCGCAAAAAATGGCCTCTGGTCGGAACCCTCTGGAGGGAGTTGTCAAGAACATAACACATAGCACCCTGCTAGGTTCCCATCTCAGGTGACGACGCGTTCACAAAGTCACTGATCCTACTAAAGCTCGACTGGGGACGACTCTGATCTTTTCGGATCCAAACCGAGCGTTGAAGATTTGTCCCTTCTCAACAAGACACTCAAGGAGGGCTCAGTGTAGGAGTAACGTAGCAAGGCGGGTTATTGAGGCGTTTGAACTGGCTTAGTTTGAGGAGGGCGGTGTGTTTGTTTGCGCCCGTCAGACCCAAGTACTTAACGTTGAGGAAATACACGGCACGCATGAGACCCCTTGGACTGTTGCACGACGAGAGCGCCCGAGGACCAGAGACGCTCTTCCTCCTCGTGTGTCAGAGGCGGAGGGTTTTTCGGTTCGTTCGGGACCTCTTCTCGCAGTCTGCGGAAGGTGCTCTCGAGTGAGTCGTGGAGCGGCTTGAACTGATGTTGGAGGAGGTGAGGAAATTTGGAGTGGACGGGTCTTCGCTCCGCATCTGTCGGACGAGGGCTGCCAGTAGGAGTAGACCGAGGTTGCAGGATAGGGTTTACCGTCGAGTCTCCGAGCCTCATGGCATAGCGAGCCAGCCACTTGTTGAGTAGCTCGGGCTCCTTGTGCCGTGTGAGGAGTGTCCACGGGGACAGGGTCCTCGGGTGGCGTTCGTTGTGGTCCTCAGCACCTGCAGAAGTGAGTCATCGCCCACCTGTTGGACTGGCCGTCTGGTTGCTCGGAGCATGCTCCTCCAGCTCAGACTGCTCACTGGACGAACCGTTCTCCTCCTCGGGCTCGCGGCACTGACGGTGGTGGCTCATCTTGGTAGGCGGCGGGCAAAGGGAGCCTCGGTGGTCGTCAAGGCCGCTACCTCCGTTTTCGCCTGCGTTTGCGCGAGCTCCGCCCTCTACGCTCGAGTTGTTGCTCCTTCGTGCCCACTGACTGAGGGACGTTTCGGTTCGCTGTAGACGTGCTTTCCAAGACAGCAGACGTCTCCATCAGCCAGCAAGCTCCACGCACGAGAACAGCTGTACAGCGCTGCACGCACACACGGTTGAACTCAACGACGCAGCGCAACGCAACGCAATTAACGTTAGGCCTAGGAACGGCAAGAGTAACATTTTTGTCCGACACCCTTGTGCACAACAGTTGTTAGAACTGAAAGGGAAGCTTACACTCTCAGGTCTATCATGGCCAGTCTGCCAGTGGTTGTGTGAACCAACAGTCTCTTTCCTCCAGGGTGTAGACACAGGGACAGAACTGGAGCTGGGGACTGGAAGCAAACATGTGATGTGTTATGCAGTCACCCTTTCAGCTACTAAGAAATCCTAATTATTGCACATGTCTTATCATGGTCGCAGAAGTTATAAGAACAGCTATACAGCTAACAGCTAATGGTTGTTGCTAACTGAAAAGTGAAATTATGTTAGAAAAGCTTATATTCATCAGTAACCTTTGCCTGGCCCTGCAGCCCTGATATTGACACTGCTATCTACCCACATGTAGTAGGACCTCCTAAGGCTTCAGAGGGTCCAGCCGCTATAAATGCGTAACTATGTAAACCTAGTGGGTGCATGCAAGGTATATAATTATACACAATACCTTTTGTGTGGATACGGCCCTCTGCAAGCACCAGAGATTTTTATCTGAGTGGGAAGTAAGGCATATTATAGCTGGTCAGATGACTCCCATGCTCTAGTGTATAATTATACAGCAAAAAACTTTGCAGTGCATAATTTCACATAAGTTAACGTATAGGCGGCGAGGCGGTACAGGATATACTCCGAGGCAGTATAGTTAACAGCAGAGGAGGATATCTCCTGTAGGCGCTTAGACGCCTGATGTTAACTGATTTGTAGTCCAAATAGCCAATGACAATGCTGAATTTCTGCTATGTCATCCTGTATAATGATGTATATACTCATGTACTAATGATTGTTGTGTAAACTTTTGGAAGCCAGACAATTTGCACTACACCCAGCGCTAGATGATGTGATAAGGACCTCCATCCCAATACTGATATATTGGTCAGCCCTCAACCCACAGCTCAGAATAAAGCATATTCCTAGCACCGGGTTGTTTGAAGTTGGACTTCATAACCTAACGTTGACAGTGAAAATCAAACTTCAAACGTACTACTTTAGACTCACCAACACGCGTGCACACACAGAGTACACTCACTCACCAGGCTCCTCCCTACTCCACACCATCACCTCCCCCACACTGTCACCAGAGAACATCACTTCACCGGACGAAGCCACACAAATGGAGTTCACATGACCTCTGTGACCTTTCAATTCTTGAGCCAGCTGAAATACAACAAAATTTTCAGAAGCAGCAAGGGGAAATATTTTGCGAATTACAGATTTGTAAATTTTTGTGATTTGAGGCTCATACACATTTTGCCAAACATGAAACAGACTAAAAAGCAAGATGTGATTCTGTATCTGGTTTCATTTGATGGAGCATTTCTCATTTTGTTTAGCTACGGCTGTTAGCACAGAGTGCATGTAGGGTGGGCACATGATGTACACATAATACTATGTGGATAAGTGGCTTGATAAATGACATGTTAGCAGAACATGGGGAATTGCACAACAAACTTAGTTGTATCAGACATTACTAATAAGCACCTTCATTGACCATCATTAACAAATGCATGTGTGAAGGGACTTATAACCCACAAGCTTGTGTGTAGGGTCAACTACAGCTTGCGCGGACCTTTTTATTATTTTTTCCTTCTCCCTCTACAGCTACCACTCACCTGCACTCTGCTGGGACCCAACGTCCACACACGAATAGCTCTATCGTAGCCACCAGTGAAGAGTGATAGGAGATGCGAGGGAGGGGGAGGAGGGGGGAGTGTGGAGGGTGGAGGGTGGGGGGTGAGGGGTGGTGGAGGAGGGATGAAGCAGACGGTGTACATGTAGCAGGGGTGAGGGAGGGACGCCACCTCACCACCAGAGGCAAGAGAGAACACCCTGAAACAAGAAGTGTCATCAGAACATTCTCATTGATTGTTTGGCGAGGAGAATACAGCTACATACAGTAGAGGTCACGAAAAACGTATTGTAATTGGTTCTTAAGCAGATTTTTTCCCTTTTTACTCTCAATCAGCTGGTTTAAGGCTACTTGTTACCTACCAGTGACAACTATGGACATCAGGATTATGTACTACTTTTATCCAGGATCTGGAAACAAAGTCAGTATATTTAGGATAATAGGGCAGTGAGCACACATTGTTGTTCACACATGCCGGCTGTGCTCTGTGCTGACTTGCCAACTACTAGTTAATCAATTCTCTTACTTGACAAGACCGTCAGCAGAGGCTGTGCTGATCATGTGACTGTCATGTGACCAGCTCAGAGAGTATATGTAGCCTCGATGGGCATCCGAGTACAGGACCACTGACAGAGTGGACACCTGACGGTAGAGGGAGAGGGCAAAGGAGTTAATAATGAGTATACGCAATTTAAATCAAGACACGAGTGCTTTCCATTGTGGTAGAAATGCAATAGTGTGCAGTATGTATGCTAAACCATACAGTGTCTTTACCCACGTATACATACATACCTCATAGACAACAAGAGTGTATCTGTCTTTATGAGGAGCTGCAGTGTAGCCAGCTCCGAGGTAGCTGAACGAATAAGTAATAATTATGGTAGTGCTATAATTGGAGGGGTTGTCCCTCACTGTCCGTCGGGGGAGAAGGAGAGGACGGAGCACCCGGTGGCGTGGCTGGGAGGGTGAAGGTGGGAGTGGAGGGAGGTGGGGAGGTGACAGGTGTGACCAGGGAGACGAACAGGGACGCTCACCAACTTCTTCACTGGCTCTACACTGATGGATATTCCAGACGTGAAATAAATGCATTATTGGAAAGCGAACGCAAATATTATTACGTGTATATATTAGAATTACGTAGAGCACAGACAGTCTGTCTAAAAGATGGGCTTGTTTTGCTCGCCCATAATTATACACACACCCTAAAAATTGGGAGAGAGCTGAGTGTACAAACAAGAGAGAATGCACTTGACTTTCTCTCTAATGGAACAGAGAATGTGTGTATACTCAACACGTATAATATGTCACTGTAATCTTCAAGAATAGGCAAAGTGTAGGCTCACGTTCTCCGTGAGTGTGTGTGGAGTCTGCCCATCATCTGTTCCACTGACTCTCCACCGACCTCCTGCAGCCAGCAGGGGTACATACACAGGTATTGCAGCAGGGGTAACGTACTTACGGCAATACTTTTTGGGGGGCAAGTCAGCGTACGCGAGTGCATATATAATTTTGACAGATTTACAAGTATTACGAAAACTGCACAATTGATCTCATGGCAGGATTACTATGACAATGCTAGCTTGTGAAATGTATAATTATGTTTTAATAACCCCGAGAACTTTTAGACAAGAATTTCACCATTTAAATGTTGCAGAAGGAAGTTCTCTGGTGGAATTTTGTGAGTGGGGATACAGGTGGTGTCCATGACTATGTGGCTGGCTATATATTCTCTGACTCACAGGTTGGGAGGGGTCCATGGATCTGGTTGTGGGTGTGGTCTCGATCCTGGTGGGTGTGGCTTCGTTGAGAGTGACGTACAGAGTGCTGGGATATGGCTTCCTCTTGTAGCTACGCCAAAGTTCCCAGATCTAGCAGGAAGAGACATTACACCATCCACATCACGTGTTCATAGCGACATTAATACCTCTGATATACTGGACAGAGGCTTACTGCGACGGCGCTTTGGATAGCAGTACAGCTGAAGGCGACAGACTTTTCCAATGCTTCTCCATTTCTCCTCCATTTCCCTAGCCTCGCTCCCTCCCCCTTCTCCCTCCGACCCCTGTAATCTGGACCCATCTCCCCCCATCCGAAGAAAAGCCCAGGCAATCTGGTGCCACGACTCACCACCAATCTAGTGGAAGAGTGAATACGTAATACAGCAGTACACACTCAACAAAAAGCTACAGAAAAGAACAGGACCTGAGGAGGTGTACTGATTTCATTGTGTTAGAAGACCGTATGTATGTATAGCACAAGCCACTTGGGGGGAACCTACATACAGAATTGCCTCCCCGAAGCATTCATTCGACTCTCCCTCTTGGGTCAGTGGTCGATAGGGTACACTGACCCTCTTGGCACGCAGTAATTACATATGTATGGCCCAGGTTTTCTCTCTCTCTCCCTATGGATCAGGTAATGACTAAAAGTGGCGGAGGACAGACATTCGCAGCAGTAAGTAAGCAACTTTAGGTCATACGTAGCTGTCCTGGATCTAACTCAGGACTGTTGAGACACAAACAGAGGCTTGCAGACCTTCACAAGTGAACGGACATGTGCACCTAGAACAAATACCATGCATTTTTGGCGAGCGAGCACAAGCAGTTCAACATTATGTGCGTGTTTTGTGTGTATTTAGAATCACGTAGAACATTACGGTACAGTATGTGCAGTGCCCGACAGAGCCGTCACATATATTATATATCCTGCATTTAGGTAGTACATAGGTTTTCTTCGCTCGCCTTCTATACCTGTTGTCTCCTGCTCCTCCAGGCAGTGTGGTGGTTGGAGGGAGAGGAGAAATCGAGGAGCTCAAAGAGGAGGAGGTTCTGGTGAGAGGTGAACAGAGAGAGGTCCTCGTTGAACAGCAGAGTCTCCTCCCACTGCGGCTGGAACCTGCAGACACAAGCAGAGCAGTGACACACATCCATCAATGTCATTCGGACTCTGGACATGAGCAATGCAAATAACAGCATGCCGTTACGCATGAATAATTAGCATTCTGTAAAGCAAGCTATTTGTATTAGGGAATTGCGCCATCATCTGAAAGTGGAATCCTTCAACCATTCTTGTTCAGACAAAAAAGATCGCCAACAACCCTTACTCCATCATTTCCTCTTACCTCTCAATGGTTCAACATTTCATTCAACCCTATTTGGATATCTCTCACCTGACATTGCAGCTAAACTGTACCACTGCTATACACCCTTTTCTTCTTTACCTTTGACCCTTATTCCTCCACGGCTGGGTGAGGACGGGAAGGATGCACTCAACACCGTCCTCGTAGTAGGAGGTGACTCGCCGATCGGGGCGTGGCTTCTTCACCAACTCCCCACTCTCACAGCTCACCAGGCACACCCTCACCAGGGGGTGTGTCACGACCAGGTCTGGTCTCAGACGGTCTGCCTTGTGGACAGTGAGGGCCAGTGTTGGTTGGGGAGGGGGAGGAGAGGGGGAGGGAAGCGAAGAGACACCCCTGTGATCTAGAGGGTTAATTATACCCATTAGTATATACGTTCTGGACTGTTGTAGGGCACAATAATACTAAGGAAGTGCTGTGCATTTGAATAAAAACTAGGGGTTCCCGGTGAGCGGTTTTAAACAACCCTCAAACAATAATGAACGTAATCCTTACTAACCATTTTCCTGTGTTTCCTGAAGGGGATCACCCTCAATTCTCTGGAGGAGGCTGGTGATACGGGCAGTTGTATCGTCCAGATTGCTACCATCTGGACTAGCAGCCAGTGGCACACTCTTCCCCTCCACCCTCTCCTCCTCCTCCTCCTCCTCCTCCTGTCTCTGTGGTGGGTGGGTCTGAGCCCCACCCTCTCTCTCACTACCTCCTCCATCTTCCTCCACTGTCCCCCTCTCCTGCCTCTTCTCTCTCACTCTCTTCAAACTCCGACGATACCTGTAATGTACGCAATATTACATCATGGAGTTCTCATAGGTGGCATAATTATAATTGACAGCGAAACACAAATATTTCAGCCCATAACTCTAGGTACACTTTCAATGAAGGCCTTCTGGGCGAAACATATCTACTGGCCATTGCACTACTATGTTTTTTTGCTGAAGTCAGGGCTAGATGGTCACTCATATTATAATGCATATATGCATAATGTAGGATTCCTAAGTTCACACCTGGCACTCGTAGATGGGGCAGAACTGCTGTAGACGGACGAAGACTCTCCTTCCTCGCCTCCCTCAGTCTCTCCTTCGTCGCCTCCCTCAGCCTCTCCCCTACCCTCGCCGCTCGGGGGCCGGTTTGAGCGGATCATCGCGCTCCCACCTCTTCTTGTAGATCTGTGACGTCTCCTCCTGGCTTCAGACACATTGTGCTCCCCCTGAGAGGCCGTTAGTCGGTCGTCGATCTGTTCGGACATCGCCTCCTCAACGCAACACGTGGGCGTTGTGTTTGTCGTTATGGGAACACGACCTCTGACCTTTGGTGTACGCATGCGCAAATATACGGACGAATGATGTGAACACACACACACACCAACACCGTGACACAATGTTATGAGACTTCAGTTAGAAATCTGTTGGGATAAAAACGCAGTCCTTCAACCGAGTCATCTCGACATGCCTTCCCTGCTTTCTCTGTGATGAGTAGCCTGATGCAGGAGAAAAAACATCACTGAACAATAATTATTGTCTCCGAATCTTTGTAATACCTCTCAGTGGCGAGAGTGATAGAGACCTTGGCTAGTCCAGAGAGCTCCTCAGCACTCAGACTTCCTTCCCTCTCCAGCTATTACGACACAACACACATCTTTATCGCCAGCACACCTTTCAAACTACTACAGATTTGGATCTGTAATCCAAAATGACAAGTGAAATGCAAACACAAAGACACTGTGGTATTTGATGTATGAATCTCACTGCTGCAAGTAATGCACAGAGCATACAGAGTTGATACATAAAGCTGGTGGTATTATGTCATACCGTGTCCAGAGTGTGTGTGATGAAGGAGGACTCGTCATGGGTGAGACTCTGAACCACCAGAACTCCACTCTCAAACTTTCTCACTCTGTCAGGGACGGAGACAGACAGACAGACAGACAGACAGACAGACAGACAGACAGACAGACAGAGAGAGAGAGACAGACAGAGAGAGAGACAGTCAGACAGACAGAGAGACAAAGAGACTGGCATAAACTTTAACACCACAGCAGAGCTTAAGTTTGCAGGTGCAGACTATGGTGTGTGCTATAAAACTAAACGACTTGTAAAAACGGTGGAGCCATTGCAACTGAGTGTATTCTGCTGCACATGAAGAAAACGGCTCAACCCACTATCATACGCACTGAAGAAACCGCTGTAGAACTATTACCTGCTCCCCCTATTACCCTATGTAAGTAAAACACCTGAGAGGAAGTCGAAGGGATTCAAAGAGGTTGCAGGCATTGACAAGGTCCTCAGGGGACACCAGCTGAAAACAAAACAAACACAATGTAATATATAGTCCTCCTTGCCAGTAAAATAAGTAAAAAAACAACGTTTCCAACATCCTTCAGCATTCAACAAATGTTTTTTTAAAACTTCTAACCATGACACTGCACTAACAGTGTCGTATTCTATACTACATGGAGAAGCAGAGCATCACGACCGGCACTAGCAGACCTGGAAGTTGGATCACGCAGAAGCTGTACTTTACTATGCATGTTCCACAGTTCCTTTAAACTGTCTATCGTATACACTAAGAGCAAAAGTAGAAGCTCATGTGAGGTTCAGGGGTAATTTCCTACATGCTGTTTGCAAATATACACCTTCATGTGTGACGAGTCACTGAACTATGTACACTTTCCTCCACACAAAGGATGCTATATATACATAGTACGGTGTGTAATAATACCTCCATGCCTCTGGCTCTGTTGAACCTGCAGTACACGTCAGCCAGTGTCATAATCCCTCCTGCTTCCTATGTACACACAAAATACAGTAGTAACGGCTCCTATTGTACATGGTCCCATCATCACTGACCTTTAGAGGTGCATCAAGGAATGATGCCAGCTGTTTTGAGAGCTCCTTGTGGTAGTTTGAGCCCGAACCATGAGTATCTCTGGATAAATGTGGTAGAGTTCATTATTGCACACTAGTAGACCATACCACAAAAGAACATTTGTTAGAGCTATACAGTGAAGGAGGTGGGTAGGGACTGAGAACACTCACTTGGTGACGGGATTGGCAATGCCCACACTCAGTAGATAGGCCTTGAACTGTACGGTCTGTGGGAGGGACACGTGTGCTCATAGACCACAACTAGAACCACAGTTGAGTGGTCACTCACCTCATCCTCTGAGAGGGCTCCTTTCTTCTCCTCCACTTTGGCTGCAAACTTGTTCACCAGACTCACCATGTCCTTGGCCTGGACACACACACAGAGACACACCAAAACCTTAGCTGGCTACTCATAAAAAAAGTAGACCGCTGTTGTATGTAGACTTACCTTGTTAATGAGAGCGTCGAGGTCTTTGAAAGCCTGGGAGACCTGCTGGCCAGTCTGCTGCTGTTTCTTCTCAATGTTCCTCTCTATCCCCACAATACCAGCCCTCAGTCTCAGACCCTGGCGAGGTAGAAAGGCAAAGCAAACAAGTCAACTACACCCAGGACAGCCCTTTCTTTTCAAAGAAAAGAAGAGCTGAAAGAAGAGCTACCCTGGGTGGGATTTGAACCCACGACACTCTGCAGTCTAGGCGAGGCATGCACTGTAGCCACCACACTCTACACCACGCAAAGCCCTACTTTCCATGCTTGTCACTGTAACTATGCATTCCCACTCTGGGGCTCACCCCACTCTTGGAGGGAGCTGGAGGAAGCTTATTTTCCCACTCTTTGGCACTGAGCTGCTGCTTCAGCAGTCGATGAAACTGAAAAACAGTAGTAAATCACTCCGTGGTAAAGAGAGACACAGGCCCCGGACTGTTTCAGCAGACCTCTTCTTGGCCTCCTTTCCTGAATGAAAATCTTATGAAGTTTGCCTTCTGGAGTGCACAAGGCCCTGGGGGTTTGGATTCTGGTGCTGGCACCAGGCGGACTGTTATCTTAGGACTGAGGAGGGAAAATGCACGCTAAATGTATACATGTAGAGTGACAATCTAGTCCAGCACGATGCAGTTCAGTATTTTAGTCCAGGCAGGACGGGTTGTGAAGTGTCCCCTAAGACACACAAAACTCTCGCTCTTCTCCTCCATACAGGCTGACCGTTACACACCTCTTGGTGAACGTTCCAGGAACATGCTCTGTTTTAGTCACAAGACACAAATCCAGTGCCAGGGTCCTTCCCTATTCAGATTGGAAGCATAAGTGAGGTACATACTGTGTTTGGATGACTACACCTCTTGTTCGTCGTCGTCCCATATCAGTCTGTGAGTGGTGAGCCGCAGAACGCCACTGTCAAACGACGTCTGTCCACAAAGGTGCGCACTAATTAGAACACCAGCCATATAACGGTCTTTCAGTTACCCTGTCTTCTCCGTCGTAGAGGCGAAGTCCTGGCTGTTGGGAAACGACCGTCTCCCCTAGCAGGAGGTCTCCCGAGTCCACCCAGTACGTTCTGTCCATTGTTCCCCCCAGCGCAGCCGATCCGACTTTATGCGCATGCGCACGAATGCAGTCTCAGGAAGTTGTTGAATTTTGCATAAACTATAATAAACAGTACAAAGAGCCATGACATGCATCACATGGTCTAATACCTTCATGCATCTATCTATTTGTATCCTCATGGAAAAGCAGCATCATGAACCAAGGTCAGGTCTTGATGACTCCAGGTGGGATGTAAGGTGGGCTGAGTGTGGCTGGAATATAGAGCCGTGCTATGAGGTAGAACCCTCCACCAGGAGCTGGGAGCCAGTTCCTCCCCTCGTTCCGATCCTCAGGCTCGGCAGTTTGTATGTACAGAGTCAGGGAACCATTGGTCGGGTCATAGTAGAGGTCTGGTGTAGTGTCTCCTACATTATAGCGGTTGATTGCATTGGCCACCAGGAACCCATCCAGTCCATACATAGTCACAGACCAGAAGCCTGGTTTGGTTATGTTCATCTCTGGTTGGTGGGCAGGGAAGGTGATGGTGTATTGGGCTCCATTACTGCAGTTGAGTCGGTTTCCCTCTGCGTCGACCCTAGCTGATGGATAATAAGCCTCTTCGGGGCTCTGTCCAAACAGACCGTTGTGTGCCGATACAGCTCGGATCAAATCCCGGCCACCCATGGCCGAGTAATTACCAAAAGGAGGGGGATCGACTGCAATTAACCACCCGTTAACTGTGGTGGATGAAGCAGATGAGTCAAAGATGAGGCTGTAGCCAGCACGAACACCTAACAGAATAGAAGTATGCAGGACCCTGTTCCCCAGAACTGGTGTGAAGCTGATGTTAGGTCCAACCCCTATCTGAGAGTACATCTGAAACTTTTCTCTATCTCCATCATACATGTCCATGTATCCCAGTAGGAAGTTGACAAATGCGAAAACCTCTGGTTTTTCGAAGATGTTGAGCGTCCTCCCGTCTCTAGGGTCCGTATCGTTGATATTGAGGGGAAGGAATGGTGGGAGATTTTTAGGTTGTGGCGATGGTGCCCTTGACTTGTAGCCAGTCAGGGTGTAGAATGGTTGTATGTTCTGAGTGACCCACTGGGCATCTGAGTCATTATAGACCCTTGTCCTCCCAAGCAGAAGGACATACTCTGTCTTTGACTGAATAATCGGAGTTCTAGTCCTCTGATGGGTTCGCCCCTTCCAATTAGGCCCAGCTATGATAAACTGTTGGGGATCGTTGCCAGTTGTTCGAGATCCGACGATAGCAAAGTTGTATGTATAAGCGTCCACCATCTGCATGCTGTAGTAGCGTGGGGTTACCCTGTCCTGATTGGTTACTCGGGGAACACTTAGAACGAGAGGCTCTGCCCTCAGATCCAGCCAAGCAACTGAGTAGAGGGTGTCCACATTGGGAGATACAACGGTTCTCGAGGCAGGTGTGGCGAGGGTCGTGGCATGGAAGAACGAGTTGAATGGGGCAGTGAAACGCAGGCCAGCCACCACTGACTGGGTGTACATGGTCTTGTAGTGCTCCAGTGTTGGGTAGAAGAAGACTGTGGCATTGAGTGCAGTCTCAAAGACATTGTCACTTGTACTCAACCTCAGGCCCAGAGCAGGACCACTGTTTCAAAGAGTTGGGGATAATCAACACTTTAGAAATACAACTGGTTACCTGAGAGCAGCAAGAAGAGCGTAGAGCAGATAGATTGTCATGGCTCAGCTGCTGGGCTTAACTTTCCTTAGTCCAGCCAGGAAGGGCTTTTATTTCCTTTCTCGTCAGAGTTCAGTGTAGATTCCCTATGATGCAGTGTCAGGTGATCTGCATCATAGTACTCCCAGGTCACCAGACTCTGACCTTAAAGGAAAACGCCATACCAACACAAGAACGGAGAACGATGCTTACGATTGCATAATAGCTATAGTTAACTCACATCATACTATGGGGTCTTGGGTAAAAACAACTGGCTATATAAAGGGGATTATATATTAATTTGTAATCAGTTGCTTAGTTGATCGACACTGAAATACAAGCACCAGTCTAATAATCAAGTGGCTACGTCTCCTTGTCCTATTAAACTACCTAAAATAATGCTCATACACACAATTAAGTGTGAGCCCTCCAAGTTATGACCCACACCCCCCTTTATGACTTGAACATAATCATAATGATTATGTAGTGTAAAGAAAACGGTTGCACTGAGAGCAAGACATTAAGAGCTACGACCTACGAGTCCATTATCCTAGACTATTTTCTCTTTTGCTCACTAAAAATTAATGCTGAATGTCTGAAGTTGAAACTCTACTTTACTGTGCTAATACCATGTCGGTACACCACTTTATGTTTTAAGTATAAAGTTTTTTGTGTTTAAACAGTAAGTACTTATTAAGGGATAGCTTTTAACAAAGTAGGTGATGCTAATTCATAAAACAACTTGCATTTAGAGCAAGTGGACATTGTCATGCATGCATTTAGAACAAGTGGACATTGTCATGCATGCATTTAGAGCAAGTGAACATTCCCATGCATGCATTTAGATCGTTGCCATGCATTTAGAGCAAGTGGACATTGCCATGCATTATGAGCTTAGGTAGACACTGCTATTTAGAGCAAGTGGACATTGCCTATGCAAGTGGACATTGCCATGCATTTTTTAGAGCTTAGGTAGACACTGCTATACATTTAGAGCAAGTGGATATTGTTATGTATTGTTAGAGACAGTATACAGGCCTGATGCATAGCTACTAACACTCTCATTTAAATAAGAAAACTTGTTTTTCAAGTGTGGGTAGAAACCCATGCCACTTTACTGAAAACCTTCCTGCACATGCAAAAGTGCCGGAAGCATGTTTCCAGCACATTCACAAATGTGCTGGAAGCATGCTTCATGTGTAGGAAGAATTTTGAAAAGTGTAGGAAGGATTTCCAGAAGTACAGGAAGAAATGAAAAAGTGTAGGCTATTCCTGTAAAATCCCGATATTTTTGACATGTGCAGGAATAATTTAAAGCTTCCTCATATTCTTCCTGCACATGAGCAAGTTGTGTGTGCTGGAATTTCTTACGTTTTGCTTGAAATTCCTGCACATTCAGGAAATTTCCGGCACATTCCCCATACATTATGATATGGGTTTCTTATTTAGAGTGTTTACTGAGCAGAAAGGTTTATGCGATTGGTTTAGACCACTGTTTTGTCGCTCACCCACAATAAGTAGAGTGCAAGTGTATGCGTAGGTATACGTAGCTAACAGAGTCTGACTTGTGAATGCCCAGGACCACTCACATCTGGTCATCTCTTTGAATGCAGGCTCTGTTTGTGCTGCAGACAGTCATAGACGGGCAAACACACCAGCATAACTAGAGATGGGTTCTGTTGAGGTACTAATATCAATCTCATCGGACATCCTTTCTATTGGGTCACTATAGTGATACAGAAAAATGTATGCGCCGTCTGCGAAAGTGGGAAACATTGGGTGTGGCAACTAGTTACCAGCAATTCTGGAAAGCTGCCTCCCTCTTTTACCCCTTTATACAGTGTCACTGTGAAGCTAATCTGGACACCAATTAGACAAAACAACCATGAGATTGAAGGGTCCTGATGTGGGAGTGTCCTTCAGATGTGTGCCACGTATTAGTTAACGGATAGGCGGCGAGGCGGTACAGGAGATACTCCGAGGCTGTTGACTATACCGGACGAGGGCGTAGCCCGAGGCCGGTATTCCATAGAGGAGGATCTCCTGTACGCGCCGAGACGCCTGACGTTAACTGATTTGTAGTCCAACTAGCCAATCACAGTCAGTCTGCTGCGACATCCTGCACTAATGTACTAATGAAAGCCAGACAATTTGCACTACGTCTAGCGCTAGATGTTTTGATAAGGACTTCCTGTCCAATAATAATATTGATACCGGTGCAGCCCGCAGCCCACATCTCAGAATACAGCGTATATTCGGGTTGTTTCAAGTTGGACTACAATGAACTTTGAACTGAACTTCTGAATGTTTAATACATCTACACAGCTATACTACTAAGTTTGGCAGTTCCAATCTAACTACTGAGTTCTGTCCACAACAGTGCTGAAGGTCCTGTTGTCTACTGTATTTTGATGACCGGCGGTGGGGCATATGGCGGATCGAGTGTGGCTGGGTTATAGATCCTAGTGATCAGGTAGAAACCTGCATCAGGAGCTGGGAGCCAGTTCCTCTTCTGGTTCCCATCTCTAGGCTCTTCATATTGGATGTAGAGAGTGAGAGAGCCGTCGATGGGGTCGTAATGGAGATCGGTTGTAGTGTCGCCAATTACGTAGCGATTGATTGGATTATCCACCAGAAAGCCGTTCAGTCCATACAGGGTTACGGACCAGAAGCCAGGTTGACTTATGTTAATGTTCGGCTCATTGGCAGGGAAGGTGATGGTGTATACTGCTTCGCTACTGGCATCTAGAAGATCTCCATTTGAATCTGCTGTGGCAAAAGGGTAATAGGCTTCATCTGGGTTCTGTCCGAACAACCCCACATATGTAGATACAGCACGGTCCAAATCACGGCCATCCATGACTGTATAATTGCCAAATGGTGGGGGTATTACTCTCATTTGCCAACCATTTACCATGTCTGAGTAAGCCGTAACAGCTCGAATGATAGCTTTGTATGCAGCATGAACACCCAATGATATAGTGATATAGTGAGTTTTGTCGCTCAGTATCGGTGTGAAGCTGATGCCAGCCCCAATTCCTATACTAGAGTACCTTTCTATCTTTTCTTGGTCGCCTTTGTAGATGCCCATGTACTGCAGCAAGAAGTTGATGAACGCAAAAAGCTCTGGCTCTTTATAAATGTTGAGCGTCTTTCCATCTGAGGCTAAGTCGTTGATATTAATGGGCGGAAAGGCTGGGATATTGGGAGGTATTGGCGAGTCCTCGCCAGATTCGTGGCCTGTCAGTGTAAAGTATGGTTGTATGTTGACGGTGACCCACTTTGCATCCTCGTCGTCGTAGACCCTAACTCTCCCGAAAAGAAAAACATAGTCTGTCTTTGATTTCAGTAGAGTCATTCCAGGAGGAACACACCCCTCCCATTCTTGCCTTGCTATGAGAAATTGCTGTGCGTCATTTCCGATTGTTGGAGCACCGACATTTGCAAAGTTGTAGGTGTATAGGTCCACCATCTGCCAGCTGTAGTAGCGTCGGGTCACTCCGTCTTGGTTGTAGATCTCGGGGGAGCTCAAAACGATTGGTTCTGCTCTCAGATCGAGCCAGGCGTAAGAGTAGAGTGTGTCCACATTGGGAGACACAATAACCATAAGATCAGGTGTGGTGAGGGTCGGGGCATGGTAGAACTTGTTGAGTCGGGCGGTAAACTGCTTGCTGTAGGCTAGGGACTGGGAGTACATGGAGCGGTAGGCCTCCAGAGTGGGATAGAAGAAGATGGTTGCATTGTAGGCAGTCTCAAAGACGTCAATCACATTGGCACCGAATGCTGCAGCACTGTAAAATGGTCAATAAAAAGACATTGCTCAAATATTCTATCTGTCTTACCTGAAGGCAATGCAAAAAGCAAGATATAGATTCAAGTTAGCCATGGTTTTGACTTACTCTCTAGCTGTTTTGACAGTTATCGTGTTTTTATATGCTGGGTCGTGGTCCCTGCATTCGTCACTAGCCTATAGTGCACACTGTGGCTTACACGTGCGAGCGGTTGCAGGTTTCGACAATTAGCTACAACTACTATACATAAAAACTCACTTCACAACCAGCAATTTTCTGAGTGGTCCATTACTGCAACTTGGCTAACTTTGTTGCACAATGTTACACAAGTGAGTCAAAAATCAATGAATAAGAGGGGATGGCCTGTAAAAGGAAACAAGAGGGTGAGACTGGAAATTGCTCATGACATCTTTGTTGACCTACCAGTGTGGTTCTTTAGTTAATGCTTTAGCAAGCCAGTGGTCTATCGAGGAAATAATGTTTTCAACACTTCAGTGGATGCAACCAGGGGGTGTAGGACACGATCACCTGTGAGCAATTTTCTGAATCAGCACTCCCGAATGTATGGGCTTTCTCGTTCACCAGTCTTCAAGAAATTTTCGGCAGTCTAGGCCGTGGCTGAAGTTTTTCTCTTGACAGAGTGAAGGAGGCACCTTAGGAAATCACAAATCTTGGTGGAACCACAACTCCTTTTTTGCTAGCGGCTTATTATTATTATTATTATTATTATTATCTCTGCTTTACAGTACATGAATAGATAAGGACGGGGGGGGGGAAACGGGAAGGGTGATATGAATAAAAAGCATGTACCGAAGGAGCACCAGACAAATCTGGTGTCCTATAACTGAGAGGAGGAGAATGTGTGCACTATAGACATGCTTATAACACACTTTGGACATGGACATTGAAAGTGATAAGAGCATGGATTTGAACTGTCAAAGTGGGATTGGAATTTCATCCAGAATAGTCTACGAGATGGGCCTTTATAGTAGAGATGGAGAGATCGAGGTTTATTGGGGGAAGAGAGTACTTCCAGAGCCGTGGTAGACGATTGAAGAAGAGATGGCCTTCCGTGGTTGATTTTGACAGGGAATGTTTCAGTTTGAGGTGAGATGAGGACCGAGTGTTACGATCAGAAAATTGCACGAAAGAGTGGATGGAAAATTCTTGGGTGGTGTCTTTGAGGCAACGAATGAAAAACAGGATGTCAAAAAGTTCTAATTGCATCATCAAAGGTAGAAAGTTGAGTGACAAGAGTCGATCTCTATAGTTAGAGTTGAAGTCATTTAGGATGTACTTGGTAGCTCGACGTTGAATACATTCAAGTGCAGAAATATGCTTAAGAATGTTGGGTCTCCAAATCTGCGAAGCATAAGTTAGCTGAGAGCGGACGAGAGAGAGATAGAGTTTCTTCTTGGATGAGAGAGGTAACCTGGATGAGAAGGAACGCCTAACGAGACCTAGAATTTTGTAGGCTCGGGAGGATATAAAGTTAAGGTGGTGGCACCAGTTAAGATCACAGGACATTAGGATGCTGAGGTCACGATGGCAGTCAACGACTTGGATTGGCATGCTGTTTAAGGAGTAATCAAATAGGACTCGTACTCGTACTTTTGGGATGAACAATTCCATAGCATGAAGAATGTTGCACTTTATGAAAGACCAATCTAATTCTACGCAATTGGATAGGAAGCAGGGGCTGAAATCAGTTTCAAGTAGAGAGTCGCATAGTCCTTCATAGTCAGCGTTGGCATAATCGTACACGACCAAGGCTTCATGGTTCTTGGTTGAGGAGCAGGTGAGAGGTATGTTGAAGGAGATAAGGTAATGATCAGAAGGCAGGGAAGAGGAACACTTAGAGACGGAAAGGTTGTCGACAAGTTGTTCATCATTAGTCAGGAGAATATCTAGTGTGTTGCTTTTGACAAGTGATAAGCTGAGACAGGTTCTTTTCAAATACAAAGTCGCAGAAGACTAACGAAGTGTCGGAGAGGGAGGCCCACTTATGAATAGGAGTGCCTAAGCTTGCGACTTTTTTCTTTCAGCGAAGCGTTTAACATCTGGCCTTGACTTTCCACTCCCATGTACTACCATTTGACTCAATCCAAGGTATACGTCAGGCTATTCAATTACTTCACAAATACAGCAAGCTATGAGCAGTAGACAGTGGATAGCATTAGCCAAGCCGCGCACCGAATCGTTGGTTGCCTAGCTACTCCACAGATGCCTTTCTAAAATTCCATGAAGAAAATCCGCTAAGAACTTGTACTTCTTGTCGGTTATACCGTTTCTACAACGGTTTCTTGCGTTGGAGCTCTTTTTGATAGTCTTTTGTCTTGAGACTTGGTAACGGCGTTTTACAGGGATGTGGGCACGAGGGTGAGTACCAGGCCATGTCTTCTGTTTTCCCTCTCTCTAGTAGACACCACATACACTTACTGTGCATACTTCCAATAAACCGTTGTTTTTGTTGTTGTTGTTGTTGTATTTTGTCTATTTGTTTGTTTGTTCTTTGTTTTTTTTTGTTTTTTTGTTTGCTTGTCTATTGTATCGTTTACTTATCATAATAATATTCAACTAAAAAAAAAAAAAAAAAAAAAAAAAAAAACTTATGAGAATTGGCATGTTGAGAGAACGCATGTGGTTTTTACGTAACTACCAAAGCGTGTTCCACGGCGCACCACCCACGCAAAAACAGGACTGGCGTGCTGCAGCTCAGCTCTCCATGACCATGGGTGGTAGTGCAAGTCACCACGCCGAAAGAGAGGCAGTAGACTTTTCAACGTCTCTGCTCTGGTTTCACCTGGGTAGGAGCCCGCCGGCAGTCCTCGCTAGTGGAGAGGTTGCCAACTCAGAAAAAAGAGCCGAGTCCGGTCTCACTGTGAGGCCGGACTCGGCTCTTTTCCCGTCTAGCATCTGCTTTTCCTTTACTCAGGACGAAGTGGACGGTGTGGAAACGGATGGTGCAGCAGTCACCACACTAACTGCCGCACAGGACAGCGACCAACCATCGGCTACACGTGTCAGCAGCAAGGTTCAGACGAGTTATGGGGTAGCTAGCTAATTCACTTTTGGATGGCCCATGTTGACAATTTAGCTATACTCTGAGTTTTGCAAGTGTTTGAATTAGGTATAGGTACTTCACTGCACTTTTAACTAGATGACAACCAATGCGAAGCTGAAGAAGGCAGTACAATTCTTAGCACGAATGAACCATGGATGTTTATCTGTGCAGGAATCTACTACTGCTGGTGATAGGAAGGCTCCCTCTAGACCTACATCTTTTCTTCTAGAGTCAATCAAAGACACTAATTTGACTAAAAAAGTTAAGATTTCGCTTATTCACAAGTCTACATTAAACGTTATTTGCTGTGCAGGGTTTGGTGGAGGCTCTCCTTAAGCATTACAAAGAGGACGTTAACGAGCTACGCCCCTATGATGATAAGAGAGAGTTTGGCGACCTCGTCTTGCTTCATCGCCTGGTCGTAGGTCCGTACACCCACCAGATAGATCTTCTGCTCTCCCTCATCACATTCAGTGGTGCTGATATTGACCGGAGGACCAGCTATGGCCACACGGCCTTTCAACTAGCCGTTGTGGTATGTGTTGCTAGCTGCTGTACATTATTGTGAGTGTATAGACATGCATGAATGTAGTATAATATAATTGTATCGTGGATATGTATCAATGAATACTGTTATGTGTGCTACTCTGGGCATATATGGACTTCCATGTGACTGTGAGATAATAATATATATATTCACCTAGACTTGATATCCACCATATATAATAGTCCAGTAACACATTATTGTGGTAAAGCTAATCATTATGCAAAAATCGTATGCATTGAAGGTATAAATTGTGTATAATACAGGGAAACCCCAGGGTATATCCCTATAGGCATATTTGGCACTGAGCACACATTGCATCATCATTGAATGAGTAAAGCCCACAAGAAGAGTAAACTTTCGGATCATGTGACTGTACAGTGTACAATCCTTATCATGTGGTATAAACTGGCTAACGTAAAGACGTGCCCCTGTGTTTTGTTCACAGTTGGGAAATGTCAGAGTTGTTCAACTCCTGGCTGCATTAGGAGCCGACGTCACTCTACCTCCGTACTACAAATGTCCTCCTCCTACAAGAACCAACAAATGCATACGACCGCTCTTAGGTCGCCGCTATTTGCCCACTGATCTGGAGTATAACGCCTCCTGCCGGGCCAGAGACAACTATGGAGTGTGCAATAACTTTGTGTCTGATCCCACACCACTTTGTCCACCCAGAGCTAGTGTTACTGCCGATATGAATTCACTTCTCAGAGAGGTAGGAGCAAGAGTCACTCAAACTGGACGTTGTTCTGTAGTCACAATAAGGAATCAGAGTACAACTCCACCTTGTGTGGAGTACGAAGGAGCTGCATGTGGTTGTTCTTCTACAAATAGTAGCAGTCCATACCCACAAATAACCAGGGAGAGAAAACCAACATCCAGAGAACTCAGAAAATCTACTACAGAGCTTAGCAAACCATCTCAAACCATGGAGCCCCAACAGCATTTGCTTTTGCCTGCTGACCCACAAAACTCAGTCCCAGCATACAAACCTCAATCATCTTCAGTAGTATTGCGTAGGGAGCCGATTGCAAGCGCGGCACCTCTCCTGTTTCAAATCCCGTGTGAGGGCGGGTGTACAGGGGAAGAGTCATTGGAGGTGGTGAGACAACTGAGGGAGGAGACTAGCGGGGGGAGACGGAGGAACGGAGCCCGTGTCTTGTGTCTGAGTGGAGGAGGACTAAGGGGCTTGGTGGAGCTGGAGATGCTGAGACAGATCCAGCAGGTTCTCCAGGAGAACAATCAAACTATCACCAGATTCTTTGACTATATCGTAGCGACATCCACTGGGGCGATTATAGCCCTTGCCATGGTGTACGGTATGTATGTTCTTCTATAGTGCAGTGTAAGACATGGTGCGACCATAATAATATTGCCCCTACAGTGGAAACTCTGATAAGTGACCATCCGAAATATATAGGGACAACCTCTCTGCAAAGGACACTTGTTTTAACCCCGTGCTTGTATTTTTTGACCTCTGAGATTGGGGCAACATCTTTACAAGGGACAAATCATTGGCCCCATATAATTAGTGTCCCTTGTTCGGAGGTGCCACTGTATTATGTAATAATCATGCATGACCTGTCACTAATAATCATTACCTGTCACAGGAGGCATGTCAGTCGGAGATGTGCTGAAGCTGTACCTGACGATAAAGAATGAAGTATTCACTCCCAAGAAAAGGTTTGAAAAGGGGAATACAGCTAAACTGGAGGGATATCTCAAGTTCTGGCTGAAGGATTACAGAATGAGCGATAAGTCACATCCAAAGTTAGTGAGTAGCTAGTTAGTATGTAAAATCACCTGTATTAGTTCTGTTGCTTAGAACCAAGTATTCCGTTTTCTTGTAGGATTGTCTGAGAGAATGCAACTGATTTCCATTTTCAGGGTGTTGGTGTCAGCAGTACTGAGAGAGAGTACACCCGTGAAGCTACATTGGTTCAATAACTTTCTCACTGGAAGAAAGAGTAAAGGTAATGTCTATTATTAATCCTACGACTTTACCTTTTACTGCGGTCGAACTTCCAAACAAGGGACAAACCATATTGAGCAGTCTTCCCTATCTTGGAGGTCAAATAATACACTAGAGTATTAGCAAGGGATCAAACAAGTGTCCTTTGTAGAGAGGACTTCCCTATCTCGGAGGGTTCCTTGTCGGAGGTTCCATTGTAGTTGAATGTTTTTTTTGTTTCCACAGATTATGTGTGGAAAGTGGCCCGCTACACCTCTGCAGCTCCGTTCTTTTTCTCGCCCAGAGACAACTACCTGGACGGAGGGCTCCTGGCCAATAACCCCAGTCTCCACGCCCTCTCCACCATCCAGGACCACCTGCGGAGTGAGGGGACTGGGACGGGGGTGTCACTGCTCGTTTCTGTGGGGGCCGGATTGAACCCTCCAAAGGCCTACCAGGGAATGGAGATATCAAACATTTTGGAGTACATCCTTAAACATGGTCGATTTCTTCAGTTCATGGTCGATGTGGCGGTAAGTGTGTGAGTAAAGCTGACCATTTTACAGTTTGTGTGGATGGAAGCATCATACCTCAGTATCAACCCAAGATCACAACTTTTTAATTTGTTTGCACAAAACCTGTTTTACATCTTGACTTGGTTCAAAGAGGCCGAATAAAAACCGTAATAAGACCTGCAAGTGGAATTCCATACTGTGAACGACTGTGCTACATTTTCCAACGGTGCTTTAACACTATGGGCGCCACGCGCAATACTACACGGTGCGTAAAGTGTTAACTTAACAAGTACTTCATGAACACGTTGTGCTTGCAGGTCGAGGGACACGCTGAGGCATGTGAGGAGACATGTCGGAGTATGTGCAGGGAGCAGGGAATAGGGTATGTGAGACTCAGTCCCTCGCTGGGGTCAGAGGTGGACTCTGGTGAGACCGACGACACGAAACTGCTGGACATGATGTTGACCACCAGGAAATACATGGTCAACTCTGGTCATCATCAATTGAACATTCTCAGAGATTTCTTCTGAATAATTGTGATACCATAATTCTGGTTGTTGTTCAGTGGCATGAAAAAAATAGGTGAATGCGTGAAAAAAACCGAATTAGTAATTGTGTGGGATTGGATAAACTGTGCAATGTTCAGGTCTTGTATATACTTCCAAGCATGCTTATGCAATTGTTGGCCTCACGAGATTATAATGTTTAACTTTCGAAAAGTAAACAAAGAATCTCCATCCATGTAGTGATGACCTAATTTATTTTGAGGTTCAATAACACGTCTTGTGATGTGTAGTTGGATATAATTATACACTCGAAGCACGAAAAGTTACATAACAAAAAGGCACGCAAAACTAGTGGCATTAACGGCCTTAGTTTCCTTTTGGTGACGGTGATATCCAAGGATATGAAAATAGAGTTGAGCATGGGGTGTGGCGTCAAACTGCTAACACGGACCGCTTTCTTATGGAAAATACGCACTCAAGCGTCTTTTGCCACGCCTCCTGTGTCAATTATATTCAGTGGAGTCATAAATGTCACGGTCGATTTATAAATGTCTTCGTCGATTTATAAATGTTGTTGTCCATTTATATATGTCATGGTCGATTTATAAATTTCACGGTTGATATACTGAAACTGCAATGTCTATCATGACGTTGTGTTTTGGAACAAATGGCGTGTAGTTCTGCAGCGATTTATAAAAGTGACGACCGAATTATAAATTCATTTTCCGACTTCGAAATGTCGTTTTTAATTTACAATTCGTGCATACAACTGTGCACTAAATAGCATCATTGCAAAGACGCTCTGTAGTGGACATGAGCCTGGTCTGCACGTAAGTTTTTGTTCTTTCTTTCCTGTTTTGTATATTTTTCTACTGACATATTTTACGGAGATTTTACTGCTTTTTTATTTTTTCAGATTTTTTCTTTCTATTTTTATACACAAAAAACTTATGTTTTCTACTGCCTCTGTATAGTAACTGTCATTGTGATTGTTTGTCATTGGGTTTGGACACTAGGTGTGTGGGGAGCAGTGAGAGTTGGCATGCCATAAAAGACTTTAACCCACCACCCCAGTTCTCAAGGCTGGGCACCAGGTGTCCTACGTACCTTGTTGCGTGCAACTGTGTTGTTTGTGTCTGTGTATGTACTTGGGTGGAGGATGGGGGGTGGAGGGCGACTTCTGGTTTTTTTCTATTCTCTGTGGCTAGTATGCTATAAATATACTTTAGTCATGCTTCGATTTGTGTGTAAATGTTCTACTGAAAAATAGTTATGTTCATACATTATTAACCCTCGGCGCGCATGCGCAGCGAGGGTTACAGTACTTGTTCTGTCCGTCTGTGTCTGTCCGTCTGTGTCTGTCCGTCTGTGTCTGTCCGTCTGTCCGTCCGTCCACGTTTTCTGCCACCACGCGCAACAAACAGGTAAAATAGCGACACCAACGGGTTCGGCGCTACACCCGCTTCATTTTTTAAATGCCGATTTTTGTAACAGTGCCGCGTTCAGAAGTTATGGCATGAAAACCAAGTGAACAAGCCAATATGCAAATTAGCACAGGCTTACCTCGACCGGGTCCGCTTGCTCTGTGTACCTTGGAGGCACAAGAATTCACAACGAAGGGCGTTTATCGACTCCCGCATGCTATCTACAACTGTAGCTAGCCCGTGTCAGACTCTTCGCGAGCTACTCCGCGAGTAAACGAATAGCCCAGCCCATCAATTATCGGTACCGCGCATGCGCAGTTCGCCGAGGGTTTGCACTTTAATGTTAACCCTCGGCACGTTCTTCTTTGATTGCAGATCAACACCAGGGAATACTATAACCAACGCAGAGATACACTAACCTTTACTCTCTGTCATGCCGAAAACAGAACAATTTTACATCGTTCCGTTTGTCCGCGCGGGATCGATTTTTCGGTCCCGTCCGTTATGCGCATGCGCCGGTAATTCGGAATAGTAGAGCTAGCTACAGCAGCGATACGTCTAACCTGTATGGCTTGCAGCGTACATAGCTGCGCGCGTCGCAAAACTTTGACGTCTTGGTATGCTACACTGAAACTGGCTGTGGGGCAGCTTGCATGTTCGATGTCTTTAGCCTTCATTGTAGTCTGCTTTAGTTGTTTTAGATCGCCGTAGTCTGCTCTACTTCTAGCAGCCTATCGAAGTTTCCGATCACCTATCACCTTTGAAGTCAACTGAAAGTTTGAGCTCTCTTCACGCAAGAGACACGACGGACATAGAGCGCAATACAGGTATGTATAAGCTAACATCCAACTCTACCTGTAATAACAGTGACAGCCTGCCCTGACCAAAAAAATAGCCACCGCAACGTGAGTTATCCCGCTATTCCGAATTACCCGCCCTTACCTTACAGTCTGTCTGTCTGTCTGTTACCACGTTTTCTGCCACCGCGCGCACGAAATCAGGTAAATAGCGATATGATCGGGTTCAGTGCTACACGGGGTTGATTTTAAAAAGGCGATTTTCGTAAAAATGCTGCGTTCGTAAGTTATGGCGTGAAAAGTAAGTCAAGGAGCTATTAGCACAGGCTTACCTCGACCGCGTCGGCTCGCTCTGTGTATCTTGAAGGCACAAGAAGTCACAACGAAGGGCATGTATCGACTCCCGCATGCTATATCTACTACTGTAGCTAGCCCGTGTTAGACTCTGCGCGAGCTACTAGCGGGATACCACGAGTAAAGATATAAAAAGCCCGTCTCATCAATTAGTGTATACCGCGCATGCGCAGTTCGCCGAGGGTTTGCACATAGGGCACGCGTTTTTGGAGAATGGAACAACGCGAACGGCGCGCTCCGTATAGTCACGTGCGTGCGCATGCGCTTTGCACATGGCTTTGAACGTTACGTAATGTTTATCCGGCTTTTCGAGTGACATTGACGACTTCGGTAAGTAACTATTAGCTTTTCGTATTATGTGTTATGTGCGCGGTTTACGTTTTTCATACTGACTCCGCGTTGTTTTTTTGATAGAAAAAACTATGACGGCCTCCGGTAATCTTTCGACGTTGGAAGTGAGCAATGCTCTCGGCGGACGACTGACTGTGAAAAAGACAAAGCATCTGGTGTTCCACATGGGCGTCCCGTTGGAAGTTCTGGATGATATTGCGGACGAGTTCAAAGGTGAAGATCGAAAGCAACACTTCCTGCGGGCATGGCTGGATATGGACCCTGCCGCTAGCTGGGACAAGCTGGTTGTTGGACTGAAAAAGATCAAACAAAACTATATGGCCACTGAGATTGAGAAGGAACATCATCTGAACACTGTTCGTTGTAGCGCTTCCCCTCCTCCTGTTCCTACTGTTCCTACTGTTGCGTGTTTCCACCTTCAACCCTTAAAGTGGAAGGGGTTAAAGCAAGTATAGAGTGCCTTGAGGAAGAATACTCCGACATAAAACATGAGGCACAAAGATGGTTGATCAAAAAGCAGGAAGCAGATTCAGATTGTTTCCACAGGTTTCGAGACCATCTCCTAGACCTGCCAGTCTCGAAAAAACAAGTTCACGTACGGTTCTTTACCAGAAATGAAGATGATATCCTGAAAGCTGAAACTTTTCAAAAGCTATTCCTTATCCTCGGCCGTTACTGCAACTACTCCAACTACGAGATAATCTTCCACGTCGTCAAGAGGTTCTGTCGTGATCTGAAAGGAAGAATGCTGAAATATCGGGGCTCTCTCACCACTTTTGAAAAGTCCACAACAGTCGATATCTACCTCTGTGCCATTTCAGCTCGTCCTGGTGGTGAAATTAGCCTGGCTTTTGCCCGCATGACCGTGAAGCTCAACAAGCCACCCTCAGAGTGTTCGCTCTATGAGATCCGAGAGTTGAAGGAATCCATCGAGGAGAAGGCATCGCTGGAGTCCTATGCCATGTACATTGAGGCACCAGGGTTGGGTTCCGTATGTGCGAGGCTGCGTTTTCCGAAGGAAGTTGGTTGGATGGTGGGTGTAGTCCTCACTCCCGACTTTAAACAGGAAAATCGTGTGACAGAGGTTTCAGTCAAGGATTGGCCATGGCTTTGTGATGAAGGCATTGATACATACCTAGTAAGATATCATTTCAATCCCAGTTCTCTTGATTATATATATACCCCCTGTGTCTTGTCACTAGAACAAAGAGCTTAGGTCTGCCTCTAGGAGAGGAGATGTGGAGGCTGTGTTTTCACTGATCACAGCAGGAGCTGTCGTGACTGATGTGTCACGGGTAAGGCATTTGGTGGATGTAATATACAGTGACACATGAAGAGGAACATGTGGGGGCTGCCTGCTCTTCCCCTCTAGATAGGTTGTTCTCTTTCAGAGGTTTCTCACTTTTGCATTACCATATTTAAGAAAATGGTATGTCAGGAATGCTTTGAAAGTGAATAGCTAATGAGGTTCATTTTGGGTAAGATACCTGTGGTTAGGTCTTAGTGCTAAGGTGGCTTGCTTATAACTAAGACGCTTCTGTTTACAGCAGTACAATGCATACACTGGGAGTGAGACATTGTTCAAAGAAACTACATATCTACTGTCCAAAAGTGAAATTTATCGTGAAATTGCAACCATTGCCACCGAAGTTCATTCCTGATGCACCTGACACCATAGCCTTCTTAGAAGCCTCTTCCTTCGATTCATCGCTCATTTTCGAGATGTCTCGCAACAACGAATGCGAATCTGTCCCTTGTTCGGGCGTTACGTTCTCTAGACGGTTTGCCACATGCTGATTGCCCACGTAGTGTTTGTCTTGGTCTTCCTCGGTATGCGGCTCTTTTCTACCTGTGCGATCTCACGCGCACACCAAGGCGTCCCGAGGCGACGATCACTAGAACAGCTTGACCTCCCCCTGACTCGAAAAGTGGCGATGGCGCCAATAGCAGCGATTCGGTGTCAGCGTCTACGAAGTCGTCGACGGCGCCCAGTAAATCCAGAGGCCTCTCCTCCGCCGGGCTTTCCTCAAAGAGCTGCTCCCAACCAAGGTTGAACGCAGACACGGACGAGCTACAGCCAACCGTACGGCTATCCCTCATTTTCTTAACAACTAAGACAGCAAATTCTCGTGCCTTTGTGGTTCTGCAGCCCTTGTGGTCGGTTGAATGACGCAATAGAAAATACACTATTGCGTCATTCCAACCTCCCATGCAGGACGAACACACTCGAATTTGCCGTCTTACCTATACAAGGTGTGGCATCATTCTGCTATGTTAATGTTGGAGTAAACCCTCCAGCAACATAGCTCTTACACTTGCAAAGCTTGCCAGCTGCATATTTTGTGCAACAACACCTAGTTCTTAGTTAAGCAATAACATTTTGATGGTTCTAGCTTGTTAGCTATAGCTGCATGACTATACACGTGTCTGTCTCATTGCACAGGGTGGATCCTCTGCACTGATGGAGGCTGCCAAGAAGGGTGAGCCTAAAGTTGTTTCACTGCTACTAGAGGCTGGAGCTAACATTGACCTACAGAATAAGGTGTGAATATATCAATGCATGTAGGAGAAGGCCTTGTAAATAAATTATGCTATATACCTACGTGTCATTTTTGTAATTGTGAAGGATGGTAGCTCTGCACTGATGGAGGCTGCCAGGTTGGGTAAGATTGAAGCTGTTTCACTGCTCATAAAGGCTGGAGCTGCACTAGACCTACAAAATATGGTGAATACGTCGGCATTCACTCCAGCACTATCAGTGGAGTTTTAATATATCCTGTCCTCCACAGCAAGGAGACTCGGCCGTCATATTAGCTACTGCAAACTACCATCTGCCTGTTTTGAAAGAGCTAGTCAGAGCTGGAGCTGACCTCAACCTGCAGAATGAGGTGACACTAAAAACTGCACGCAACTCACAGATTATGTATGCTAGAGGTCGCAGGGTACTCACTCTGAGCCCCGGAAGTTATTGTGTAAACTGTTTATACTACTACTTTACTACTTTAATAGACCTGACTGTATCTATACGATACCCCCCCACACACACACACGGAGTAAAAAATCCCCTTTGCATCACCATAAGTGTAGTAAAAACACCACACCTATGCCCAGCCACCCACGCAATAATTGAGTTACTGCTTCTCCAAGCGGTGGCTGGAAGAAGATGCCAGCAGGTATGACCCAAGGCAGGTATATATGTGTATCTGGTGTAATCTTTTCACAGCAAGGCCGTAGGGATGTGGGTAGGCTTCCTGTGCATGCGTGCTGCCTTCTTTTGCTGTTACAAAAACAGACAAACCGAACTACATGGCAGACTTTACTAATCATACGTAGTTGGTATACTAAAATTGCCTTCATGTAATGTAGGTTAGTTTGAAAGTACAATAATTGTAGCCACGTAGTAGTCAAATCTGGACTCTAACCAGGTGGAGTGGCCTCACCCTTTCTGGAGTGTCTCACGTGTCGGGAGTTTAAAGAGGCCGAAACGCGTGTGACATGGTGAAAGATTGGGAACTCCCCTGATGACCAGTAACAATGCGCCTGCATGTTGCTGGACTTGTGGATAGGTTTACATGTACGTTTAAGCACCTGGCTGGCTGCATGCGGTGACGCCGACAAAAGCCACCCGCCCTCTCTCGTTAGCTTTAGTCCTGCCTACACTTTACCTCTCTCTCTTCTTTCCCCAATCACAAACACACACACAGGATGGGCTAACAGCTCTGATGATCTCCTCAAGATTTGGTAAAACTGATCTCACAGAGACACTTGTGTCGGGAGCCAACATCTCTCTTGATATTCAGACTGTAAGTTTTGGCTCAGTGTAGACAACACGGCAAATACTTCGTATTTATAATTATTCAGACCAATAATGGGTGGTCAGCTCTCTTCTTTGCTGTTGATAAAGGACATGTGGCAATAACAAAATTACTTCTCAAGAAAGGGGCTGACCCTCACCTCAGCGATCATGTGAGGACTGCTTGATAGGGGGGAGCTGTATTGTACACTTTGGATATTTGGTGTACCTTGTTAAAGACGCATATTTAACGCATATTTTGCAGTAAGTAAAAGTACTGTGTTTGTGTTTCATATGTTTGGCATAAAAATTGACAGAAATTAGCATCGGCTACACATTGTAATAAGCTATGGGCCTTGCCTTCTATTTTCAGAGTAAACTGACGATTATGGATGTTGCTACGGCTGGTTGTCATGAATGTGTGCAGGAGCTACTGAGGAAATTCATCGCAAACCCATCATCAATAGACACACTTGAAGACTCACCAGCAGACTCTACTCAGGATTCCCAGCCTCCCCCATACATAGAATCTCTTCAAAAGGCTCCCGAATACACAGAATCACAGGAGTCTCCCCAATCAGCAGAATCATACTACGAGCCTCCCCAATCATCTCAGAGGCCTCCCCAATCAGCAGAATCATCTTGGGAGCCTCCCCTATTGGCAGACTCATCCAAGAACCCTCCCCAATCATCTCAGGGGCCTCCCCAATTAGTGGACACATCTCAGGAGCCACCCCAATCAGTGGACTCATCTCAGGAGCCTCCCCAATCAGTAGACTTATTGCAGGGGCCTCCCCAATTAGTGGACTCATCTCAGGGGGCTCCCGAATCTCTGTACTCATCTCAGGAGCCTCCAGAATCAGCAGAGTCTACTCAGGAGCCTCCCCAATCAGCAGAGTCTACTCAGGAGCCTACCCAATCAGCAGAGTCTACTCAGGAGCCTCCCCAATCAGTGGACTCCTCTCAGGAGCCTCCCCAATCAGCAGCATTGTCCCAGGAGCCTACCCAGCACGTGGACCTCTCTCCATCAAATAAGACAGCAATTGTGTCACCTCAAGAGTTAGTTCAGAGACCAGCAGTCACCTTCCAACATAGGGCCTCTCCCAGGTATATATACAGTAGGTCGGAATATTAATGTGGATTCCTTAGCCAATGGCGCATTAGTTTTAAATTGGATGTGACGTCACATCCGGAGTCTCCAACAATGTATTACGTTCTATATACGGAGAAAATGGAATCCATAATCTTTTGCAGTAACCGTAGTATGTGTGAGAAAAAGAACGGACGCTCTAGCTTGTTCCTGCGCGGAGATCTGGGCTGAGAAAGGATAGTTGTTAGTATCATGACTGGGAATCGATGTGTTCTGTGTGGCTCTACATGTGCAACAGACCCTGGAACCTCTTTTCACCGTTTCCCGGCTGAAAAACGGCGAGAGCGAGGTGGATTGCAAATCTACAGCTAGGTGCTGACGCTGGCTGTGTAGCCGACGCTTTCCTGGTGGAGAACCGAGCAAGGAGCCTCAGCTTAACCTGGGAAATGAGGCTCCAGGGTCTGTTGCACGTGTAGAGCCACACAGAACACATCGATTCCCAGTCATGTCCTTCTCAGCCTAGATCTCCAGCGCAGGGCGGAACACTTAGCTCTAGAGCGTCGTCTATTTCCACTACAGTAACTGTAATATCGCAATAGACTTATAAATAGAGATACGTATAAAACTACGCGCTGTGCCGCTCTAAATTGCCATACATTCTGGAGAGCTCCGGATGTTGATGTAAGTTCAATTATCGCCCACTTTACGTGCCATGCATACTTTTGCATTCGTGCAACTGGTCCATCCCTTTCCACAACTTCAGGTCTGTTTGATCCGTGAAAATGTTGTCTAGTTGGCGAGCAAAGCGAGCTTACCTACATAGTTGTCTGAATGTGTGATTTACCATGATTGGCACTGCAAGGGGCGTGAACAGTACGGCATTGATTATAATACGGGTTAAACGTTTGAAAATCGGACTGTTGCTTCACTTGCCAAAAAT